ACGAATGGATCAGGAAGATGTGGTTTATCTATACCATGGAATACTACATGGCAATGAGAAACAGTGAAATCTGGCCACGTGTAGCAACATGGATGGACCTTGAGGGTGTTATGCTGAGCGAAATAAGTCAGGCAGAGAAGGACAAATACCATATGTTTGCACGTATAGGAGGATTAGGAGGAACTTGACGGAGGACCAAGGGGGAGAAGAAGGGCGGAAATGGTGGGGGAAAGGGAGAGAGGCAAACCATGAGAGACTCTTGAATGCTGACAAAAACTGAGGACTGATGGATGTGGGATGTGGGGGGGATGGGCATGAAGGAGGGCACTTTGGGGATGAGCACTGAGTGTTATGTAGAAACTAATTTGACAATAAACTATTTGTAAAAAAAAAAAAAAAAAAATAGTATATAGCAATGAGAATGAATCATCTACAATTACAAATAATAATGCGAATAAATCTCACAAACATAATGTTGAGCTAATAAAATATGACACATTGTAAAAAAAAAAAAATCTTTAAGGGGTTGAGGAATGATTGAAAATTGGAAAAGCAAGCAGCAGTTAAAAGATCATGTTAGCTGCAATCAATACCTGAGAAACTGGTATTTGGAAGAGAAAAAAGGTCTTTCTGTACTGCTCAGCAAAAGACCCAGACTTAACAGCCCTTCACTTGAGGCTTGTCATGAGAATCTTATTAATCAGGCTCCTGGGTGTCTCAGACACTTGGGCGACAGGCTCTTGATTTTAGCTCAGGTCTTGATGCTGTGCGTCAGACTCTACCCTGACAGTGTGGATTCTCTCTCTGCCCCTACCCCACTCATGCACTCTCTCTTATTTCTCAAAATAAATAAATAAACTTTAAAAGAAAAATGCACCCAGGAGTGGAAGAGACTGCTTCACAGTTTGAAAGAAGGCATTGGCATTTGGCATTAGGTTAAAAAATAAACAACCCTGTGATTTCTAAGTTGGCCTTCCAGTTGAGAGATTGGGTATTTATGGGTGATGACTATCACAAATTAATGATTTGTTTAATAATATTTTATTTAGCATGTGGCAAGTCCTATGTTAAGCAATTGATACGTATTGTGTACTTGAATTCTCACAGCAACCCTAGGAACCAGATTCCAGTATGTCCTCTCTTACAGATAAGGAAAACGAGATTTAGAAAGGTTAAATAAATTGCCCAAGGTTATGTGTCAGGTGAGCTGCAGAGCTGTTTGTGGGATTCAAGCTTATATCTGATTCCAGAGCTCATACCCTTAATTTGCTTAGCTTGACACCCCTGTGACTTGGTTATTAGTTTAATGACAAATGATAGTGTAAGGTATCAAATTAAACGTGTTCTGTCTTTATAGGAAAACTAGACCTTTCCAGGTATACTGTAGTTGAAATATATAAATGAGATCCCTAACTTTTATGGTTTTGGAAGGGTATAGTATCCGAGTCAACTCCATTCTCTTAGGAGTTCTGATAACTAGTTTCTCCTAACAAGTCAAATTGCTTTTTAAAAGATTTAAATCATTCTTATGTATAAATGTGTAAAAATATTAAATTATGTACAGCTGCAAAGAATACTGACTTTGATATTTGGTTATCCTCTGTTTAGAAGGAATTTTGCAGATTTGCAGTTACATTTTATTTGATTACAGATAGATGTATCCTATTAAATTCCTAAATGATAATGCTGTTTTTGTGATTGAATATAATCTAAATTTGAATATCCACTGATGAGTATTTTGAAATTTTACTAAAATTACCATTTCTAGAAAGTTGTCAAGTTTAACAGTAAATATTTTTGTTTAATTCTAGGGGGAAATTTGCAGTCGTGAGGAAATGTATAAAGAAAGATTCTGGAAAAGAATTTGCAGCAAAGTTCATGAGAAAAAGAAGAAAAGGCCAAGATTGTCGAATGGAAATAATTCATGAGATTGCTGTTCTTGAACTAGCACAGGATAATCCTTGGGTCATTAATTTACATGAAGTCTATGAAACTCCATCAGAAATGATCTTAGTTCTGGAATAGTAAGTATCATCTTCCTTAAAGGGAGTTTATTTGATAGTTCACGCTTCCTTTATAGGATGCTAGTCATCTGTGGTATGTGTTGGGGCCTGGCTCGGGAAATTTGAAGAATTTCCAGAACTTTGTCATGTATTTCTCATATTAACTTGACATTTTTCAAATTAACAAGAATGCATGTAGATTAGATTTTTCATCTTCATTCTTTAACAAAATTCTTCTGATAGTAGGGTGAAATTCTCTTATATTCTTATTAGAGGCATTCTTGAGAAAGTAAGTGATACCATCGTAATATTAAAAGACATTTTACAATCCCTTATATGTTCATATAGTCTGAGTTAATCTTATTTCGGAAACTATTGTTTTGATTCATACCGTGTTTTCATTTGAGTAAGGAGGATCGTATAGGAAACAGCTTTGGAAAATAAACAGCTTTTTCTTCTTAAAAATCCTGTTTTCCTCTCTACTTCTCCTACCAAAGGAAATGATTGATAGATTTGAATACATTAAAAGCCTTACTACATCAAGAAATACAAAGGAAAAGACAAGCTCAGGGAAAGTACTTCTCATGTATGTTCACCCAGAATGCTTAAAATTTCTTTACTGTGTAACTAGATCTCAGAAATTACCCAAAAACATGAACCTCCCAGTTTAAAAACAAAGGACAAAGGGTCTGTTAAATTTTTTTCAGCCAAATAAAACTGAAGATCTAATCAACTTTATTAAGTGACTCTAGCAAGTGGAGAGCAGCCCCAAGGCATTGTACAAAGTAGATAGGTTTTCTAGGAAGGAGGGCGTGGCAAGAAGTGTTTAGCAGAAGAAAAGAAAGGATTATTTCAGGCAAGATCACTTTCCCTTCTGGGAAGAGCAAGGGGTCTCATTAGGTGGATTATCTCATTTTCTTTTGGGGGATGGATAGGCCCCATGTGAGATTCCTGCTGATGCTGATCAGAAATTTTCTGACTGACTGGTTAAGACTTTCATTTCTGGGGAAGGTTGAAACTGTACTTGGAGTAGATACTAAGCCCCAGTTTTGTGACTTGGTATAAATGACACTATTGTGGGCCTGTGCTTTCCTTTTTAAGAGCTATGAAGACAATTCCACATAGACATACATATATAAATGGTCTATATGTACATGAAAGTATTGATTCTTACAATTTTTATAATGTAATTTAAAAGTAAGGTTTCAATTTCCCCTTGCATGAGTGGCAAAGATTATAAAGAAAAAGTGATATGGGTTATACCATCTGATTTATACACAGGTAGAAGTATTAATCGTACAACTTATCTGGAGGACAGGCTAGAGTTCTGTATCAAAAGCTTTAAGGAAAAAAAACGTTTCATCCAGCAATTTCACTTAAATATTTTTTCACAAGGAAATAATAAGCCAGTTGTGCAAAGATGTGTTAGAAAATGTTCAGTAAAGTTTTTTTTAACGTAACAAAAAATTATGTTTAATATAGAAGGGGGTTGGTTGGTTAAATAAGTGATAGTGTTACAAAATAAATTCCTGTGCAATGATTTAAAAAGATAAGGTAGATATAAACTGTATTGACATAGTTTTTAAATATTGTTAGAAAAGAAGAATGTTTATCTTGTTTTTAGAAACTTTAAAAGTTTGTAGAAAGCAAATTTTGGATGGCTAAAACAGTGTCTTCCTCTTGATAATATAATTCAGAGCATTGTGTTCATATATTTTAGTTTAGTAATTTCACTTCTAGGAATCCTTTCCAAAAACATTGTTAAATGTGAACAGTGAGAAACACGAAAGTGTTTCACACAAGGTATCTTTAATTATAATAGTAAAAATATTTAAAATGGTAGGATGGTTAACAAATGTAGTATATGTGAATTATATCTGAATAGAGCTCTTTTATGATTTTTTTTTAAAAGTTGGTATAGGAACCTCCTATATAAATCCCCTGCCTACCTAGGTTTTGGTTTCCAGTTTGCTTTGGAGAGGATCAAGGCAGGATTGGAAGTTGATCTAGAGACTTTGTGAAATACTGTTCTCTGACCGGATCTTGTTCTCTCCTGTTCTCACCAAACCTGCTCTTCAGCCTTCAACCCGGAACTCTTCTTAGGTCTTCCAGTCTTTCAGCCAGCCCCTGACTTTTTTCTTTCCTGTGATTCCCTTCAAACCTTATGTGGTTATTTTAACTAATCTCTCATCAGCACCTTATATTATTTCCTTCTTCCTCTTCCTCTGCAACTTATTTTGCCCATTTACCCTGGCCCATGCTGCATCCTGCACACTCTAGGGAGGATTTTGTGTAGTCTTTGACCTGCTTGTTACAAGTGTGAGAGTCCTCAGCTGGGCTCTTGCTGTCATTGGGTAATTCTTTACCTAATCTCTCATCCCCTTCTAGTAATGTACCCCCCAGGCCCCAGAAGGACCTAATCAGAATCCTTAATACCCTTGCTACATCATTCTCTTCCCATCCTCTGTGAGATACCTAGCCCTTTCTGCCCTCATGGAGAAAATAAAGGCGGCACACTCTCCCTCAGTGTCCCTCTGCTTTTAGTGCTCTCAGCCCACCCTTCTGTTTGAAGAAGTTTCCACTGCTTAACTCTGAGGCTTCAATCTTTACCTGTGCTAATTCTCTTCCTTCCTTTTCTAGGATCCTTGTTTTGTTTTTAAATCAGTTCACTGACCTTCCAGGCTTTCAAGGTGCTCTTGAAAGAGCACCTCTCCCAAGGTGGTTCTTTTCCCTCATCTTCCCATGTTTCTGTCTCTCCTGTCCTCAGGTTCCTTTTCCTCATCTCTGACTGTCTTTAAACCATCGTCCTGGCTCGCTCTTTCCTTTACTGCCGTCTCTCCTCCTTCAGGGAGCAGTCTGAATTTACAGCTTTCCTCACCTTGTGGCCTGTCTTGTTCTTCATCGATCCGTGCATCTGCCCGTGCCAGTGCTCCACGCCTCGTCTGCTGCACCTGCTCTGCCCAGATCGTCTGCCGCCGTCAGTCTCCTCATTTCAGTGTTCGTTCTACTTCTCACTCTCTGTAAATACTTCATTATACCTTCTCTCTTGAAATGACGTTCTTGGTTTTCATGGTCCTCTTTTAAAAAACAAAACAAAATACTTCTGTCAGCCTTTTACCCTTCTTCTTCTATATGAATACAAGTGCTTCCCAGAGTTCATTAGTGTTGTTCTTGTCATACTCTTATATTCTGTACATTTACTCTGAACAATAACAGTCTTAAGTTTGTGGCTTCAGCTATTCTTTACATGCAGTTATTTCCAAAGCTTTGTCTCCAGCCTTGGACCTTCTTAAGTTCCAACTGCCTACTGCATATCTCTGTATCCAACCACACATCATTACCAATTCAGGATCGATATGTGTGCACTCCTGCATTATCCTGATAATGCCTGTTTTTCTTTTCCCCATTTCCAGTGATAGCCCCATTTATTTCATAGCTCAGGCTAGAAACCTTAAATCTATCCTTGTTTTGTTTATCTCCTTTAAAAGCTCATGTATAATAAATTACCAAGTCTTACACTTAACCCTTTCCTTGCTGGGTCCCTTTATCTTGGTACTTGCTATTTCTCCTCTGTATCGGGTCCTCATTGTCTCTCCTGGGGACTCTCACAGTAGCTTCTTAGCTGATCACCCTGGCTTCAGTTCTAGGATGTTCCTCAGACTGCTGCTAGGTAATTAAGATATAAATGTTGTGATATTATTCCCTGGCTTAGAAACCTTTGGTGGCCTCTGTTGCTTCAGTGATCATGTTTTTAGAACCACAAATGAGTATGATTTGGCTAAAAATGTTTGTATTCCTTTTTTTGTATGAAGGGAAAGTCTTAGCAATATGTGTTTAGATATAGAGATATCAAAATTCATGGCCACATGAATAATATGTTGTTATGAAAACAGGTTTATGATCACTATGTCAGTAACGCATTTCAAATATACTTAAGTACGCACAATATGCACTAGTGCTAATAGGTGCTGGTGGTATAAAAGTGAAAACAGCATAGCACCTTCCCTCCAGGTGCTACAGGTTTAGTGAAAGAAATATAAATGATTGCAGCATTGTTGGCGTCTTACCCTAAATGCTTACTAGTTGCTGTGGGAACACAAACTGTAACAGTCATAATGTGATAAGAATTTACCCTGTGCCAGGCACTGTGCTAAATCAGTCAACTTTATATAAATCATAAACATGCTTTTTATGCATTATTTTAAAATTTTTTTCCAGCTTTATTGAGGTATAGTTGATACAGAACATTTTATAAGTTTGAGGTGTAGGATATGTTGATTTGATACACTTATGTATTGTGCAGTGATTACCACCATAGCATTAGCTAACACCTGCATCAAGTCACTTAATTACGTGTGTGTGTGTGTGTGTGTGTGGTAAGAACATTTAAGATTTACTCTCTTAGCAACCTTCAAGTATAAAACACAGTATTAACAACTATCATCACTATGCTATATGTTAAATTTCCAGAACTTATTAATCTTATAACTTGTAGTTTGTATTTGTACCCTTTGACCAAGATCTCTCTCCTTTTCTGCCACCTCCCTCCATTCACTGGTAACCACCATTCTAGTCTCTTTCTAGGAGTTTTACTTTTTTGGATTCTACGTATAAGTAGAATATATTTAATTGGCTGAATAACATTCCATTTTATATATAAATATATAAAACATATATCTTTAACAGGTGTGAGATGGTACCCAGTTGTGGTTTTGATTTGTGATTCCCTGATGACTAGTGATATTGAGCACCTTTTCATGTACCTGTTGCCTATTTGTATGTCCTGTGGAAAAATGTCTGTTTAGTGTCTCAGCCCTTTTATAGTCAGATTGGTTGTAGGAGTTCTTTATATATTTTGGATCTTAAACTATTATCAGTTAATATGTGCAAATATTTTCTCTCATTTCATAGGTTGCTTTTCATTTTGTTGATGGTTTCCTTTGCTGTGCTGAAGCCTTTTAATTTGATGTAGCCCCCACTTATTTTTGCTTTTGTTATCAAATTCAAAAATTTGCCAAGGC